AGATGTATAATAAATGTCTAGCCAAGCAGTTAAGGTGGTCCAATCAAGTTATTCCAAGGGGGTACGAAAAATTGATGCAAAAACAAATCTAGCTATATAACAAAGAGGACCAAATAAAGATAGATACCTTTTCACCCCGTATGATCTAACAGTTTTAATTGTTTTGAATTGAGAATGTTAATTAAATGTACACTGCACTGAAGATATCACTTTTAATTTACTGAAGATTCTATTTATTTAATAAATATTAAAATTTTGTATTTCAAAACATTTTTTTATGAGAGAAATATGGAGAATTATCAGTATGATAAATGTGATATCTTCACTGCAGACAAGAACTAAAATAATGTAGTGTTCAACAGTGATGAAATAAAGTGGACTATTTTGTTACAATACAAAAGTGATATGTGATTTTGACATGAAATTAAATGTCTCACAATGTTATTTCACACTTGTGAAAATGTCAGAAAAATCTGCCATATTCGTGAAATATGTATGATATTGATAAACAAACCATTGTAAATCCTCGGTTTATAAACTGAAAATTGTTCAAATATAATGCTTAATGTTTAAGAGTTATACACTTACCCTGAAAAGAGGATGATGAGATCAGAAGAGGTCCTCCATTTCCTTCATGAACTGGTCGTAGGCGTCGTCCTTCGTCTTGGTCTGAGCTGCTGCTGAGGCTGGAGCTGCTACAGGAGCCAGGCCTAGTAGCCGCTTCTCCTCTTCTTTGCCTCCTATCATAAAAACACAACCATCAGTATTCATTCTCACTTTAAACATGTAGGTCAAATTATACACTCTCAAATTTGTAGGATTTTTTATATTAATTCATAGATATTTTAACTCACTGTTTTATTTATCAGTATTAGGAGGTGAAATTCCAAATTGGTCTCATAGAATACCAAATTAGTCAACCTTGGGATTGCAGGCATCAAAAGGCAATGATTCTTACAGAAGGGAGATAATCAGCACATTTGAACAAATACCTCAATTAAAGGGAAACAACCAACTATGGATTTTTTTCATTTTTACTTTAGAGACAGCTTTAATAATACAAATGTATGGGTGGTGGGATCAACAATATTTTACCTTCTGTTTCTGATACCATTTCTAATAATTGGTTTGAAGCAAGTCTGTGAATAACTTACCCATAGGTTTGACACGCCCCTTGGCGTCCCGCACTTCTCGCTTGACCTTGAGAGCTGTCGGTGTGAACCTTGTAACATCCCCCATCACATTCTTGATCTGAGGTTTGGCTTCGATTGTAGCTGCGTTTTTCTTGTCGTCGCCGCCAGCCTTCTGGGGGAGTTTCATGATACTGGGAGGGGCACTGAGCACATTGGGATTCTGAGAAGCAATACCAGGAGGAGGCAAACCAGGGGGAAGTATGTTTAATGGCCCACCTGGTGGTCTCATTAATCTGGGCGGCAGTACACCTGGAGGAGAAGGGAAAGGTTCAGTCTGATATCTACATACTATCACATGACACTCCAATTAACTAATTGACACATAAATTCTCTTTCTGATTTTTCTCTCTCAAAGTTTTGTTGTATTCACTCTTTGAAGATCTGTTTTAAAAATAACATGATCATGTCAGTAAATTCCTGATAAAAAAAGGACATAACTCACATATAGTAAAGTAATAATAACAGTCTGTCATCTATCAAGCCATGGATCACAGTTTATAGAACTGTTAAGACATTCAAATTACAAATTAAATCTGCAATCTTGAACAAACACATAAACTTATTATTCTGTTATTTCTCTGTTGATATTTCACATTAAGTAAACATCAAAACACCAGAACTCAATAAAAGTTATCTTTAAAAATATCCCTTGTTACACATTAATTGAGCACTTTATATACCAGAACACATAACAGATTTTTTACACTTCATTATGTTTAGGTATTTCAGGTGATGTGACCTCTTGTTTTCTGAATACTGTATGAGCATGGTTACCTGGTGGACCGGGCGGTAATCGTGGGGGCAGCCTGATGTTGGGAGGTAACCCAGGTGGCGGTCCAGGGGGAAGACCTTGAGGTCGACCTGGAGGAGGACCAGGGGGCATCATTCTTAGGGGTGCTCCTGGAGGTCCTCCTCGTAACATTGGGGGTCTGAACATCATGGGAGGGGCTCCTG